TAATACTTCTTACCCTTAAAAAACAGTGAGGCATTCCCAAAATCAAGATGTTAAGTTTGTTAAAATAAGCTGCAAGGCTTAATTCGGAATCATTTTTATATTAAGTACATTGCTCACAGGAGTTAGAGCTTGGGGACTCCAGGCTCCCAGGCATCTCACTCAATACAAAGTGAAATACTCCACTTTGGATCAAAAATAATCCAAAACCAAATTTCATTTCTCTCTGAAAAGAACAAATCTTCTGAAGGAATCTTTTTTGTGAAAAAAGAATTTTAAAAAAATCTACATCTTACATGTTTTGTTTATTCTTATGGAAAAAGGCTTACCAGTTTATCAATGAAGAAAAAAAAATTACTGGTCTCTAGCTTGAGGTCTTCTCTTAGAATTATTTTCAAGGGGAGAGAAAAAGAGGAGCTTATTCAAACTATTCCATCTCACAAGGAAGGTGTAATCACACAGAGCGCTGTCCCCTTGAACGCTGTATCCAAAACGTGTTCACAAACTGCTCTTTTTAGCAGTTAACAGACAGGAAAAGAATTTTTTAGCAGCTCTATTTTTCATTAAGTTTGCACTTAAAAATCCACTTCACTGCATAAGCTTTACATGGAAACACTAAACTAAGAGTAGCACGATCTTTGCTGACAATTAATACAAGTGTAAGTGGATAACTGTGAACACAAGAAAGCAAAAGTTCAAAGTCCCAAGGTGAAGACAACAATTCTTTATATGAAGAGTTTAATTTATAAGAAATAATTGATTTTATATTGTACTAACAATTGTAGAACACAATCCTGACAAAAGAGCTGTCAAACCACCTGGTAGAAACCAAACCCTGTAACGCCACGGGGCGTTCTCCGGGCTGCTGAAAAAGTCTAACTAATAGAATAGCTGAAAGAAGGCAGCATGATTAAATCTCTAGCTTCTAAGGAAAGTCATCTGTGAGAAGCTGAAAGTATTCAATACAGGAAAATGATGCTTTAAGAAAAGGTGATCATAATTTACATGAGACTAGGAAAAAAGTTACTGTTGTAAACGGTAGTTTCTGAACGACAACGATGAGGCTAAAACCACACAGTGCTGAACCTCTGTCAGTTCAAAAATCAAGATTTCAAACAGGTCATCCCTGTCCCCCTTCTCTCCTCCCCACCCCAAAAATCAAATCACTTAACTATTTGTATCAAAGGACCACCTTCATCAGCTTAACTAGTCTACCCTAAATCATCAGGAAATATAATTTAACTACTTGAAAGTCCAGAGCTACTGTGCATTTAAAGATCATCAATATGCTTCAGAGATGAACTTAATAACATACTGAAAAAGACAACTTTGAGGATGATAGCTTATTGACCTAAAGATTATTTGATGCCTCATTTTTTAAGTGGTAGTTATGAGAGTAGATTCATAGTTCATGACTGAAATGGCACATCCACATTAAGACCACATACAGCACAGCTTTTGCTAAATAAGTAACCACCCTACTGTGTTTTGGTGGGTATATCACAACTAAAATCATATTAAGAAGTATTGCTTTGCTAAAACAGGGGACCGGTGGTGAAAAATGGTTGTTAAACCATCAAAGTAACTACGTCAATGACCATGACGCACTTCTTTCTTACAGATGTTGAGTGCATAGAGAGGGTAATTATTTAGAGAGGTATCTGTGTCCCTTTAACGTTGCAGTATGCTTGTTTGGATGCCTAATGCCATACTGCAGCCAGAGCTGAAGCTCTTCCAAGTGCTGGGCCAGGCAACCGCGCTCTCGCTGGGACACAGCAGCGCTGCGGGTCTGTCCCGGCGGCTCTCGCTCGGAGGCGAGAATTACCCCCGTCCCAGCCCCATCGCTGTTTTCAGCATGCACGTCAACGCTCTTCGTCCTCATCTTTCCTCTTTCAAACAAAAAATTGCATTTTCACAGGTAGTTGCAGTTCACCCCCCCACACACACTACCTTTAACTGCTTTTGTTTGCATAGCTCTTATACTGATTATTAAACTATTCAAAACTACGCCCCTATTCACTGGCGCGTGGCTCCTAGGCTCAAAAATTGAAAAATGCCAAAAAAATAAAAAGTCAAGAACATGCTGACTGTCAGGAACGGGGGGAACCCCCTCCCTGTTCGCTGAACGGCTGAGCTGGCCACGTGGCTTTCACCACAGCACCCGGAAACCTCGCGCTTCCGGAGCGAAACCCTGCGCCAGACGGGAGCAGCCACATGCCCACAACGAGAGCAGCCATCTCCCTGGGCAGCTTCACAACCAGGGCCGCGTCCTTGCTTGCGCTCTTACGGGCTCGTCCCTCACGCTCCGCGGTAACGGTGAAAGGCGTTAGCAGGATAAATATCGTGGATACTGTGATTTACCTTTGTAAGCACCAGACCTAGAAAAGCTTGTTAAAGGTTTCTTTTAGCTTTAAGAGTGGAGCACAGCAGCAGGCAATTGTGAACAGGACAAGCCCTGTGCAGAAACAGGAGCTACTGGGGGAAAACAGGAGGGTTTTCATCTACAAGCTGGATGACTAACTATATTTGAATGGCAGTTTGTAGGCTTACAAAGAGGAATGAAAATGTCCCAACTAAAGTGTAATGAAAACATAAAGTAGCATCCAATCCAGTATGTTTATGCCTTTACCTCTGCAGAGGCATTCAGACAACTGCGCGGTATTCCTCTGAACTTCCTTATTAACTACTGTTTATATCCTCAGTAAATAAAGGCTTTCATCAACCAATCTGTACATTTTAAATGTCATATACCTTCAATAAGAATTTTTAGTAGTTGATTAATAGCCTAGAAAAATAGTTTTAAACGCTCAAGTTTAATGATGCAGTGACAATTTGAATGTCAGCTTCTAAAACAGTTTGAAAAGAGAATTTAAGAACAGATACTAATTCATCCCTCTTACGGGCAAGAAAATAAAAAAATCAAATACAAGTCAGTATTGTTTTTTCCCCATAAAAGGAATAGTACAAAATAATACAAAAATAACGTAGACATTCTGCTTTTGTAGAAGTTGTTTGATCTGCCTTTGTTGATACGCTAAAATTCAGCAGTCTACTTTTTATTCAGAGGCACATACCCACGTTAAGTATTTTTGAGGCTCCTGACTTGTTAGTTGGTGCAAGTTTTAAATCCACAGTCATCCAAGTCCTCTTAAAATAACAAAGAAAAACATAACTAGACAACAAGAACTCTAGCTTGCATTTTGCTTTCAAAAGGAAAAAAAAATCCTTATTATTAAAGAAGTAGATTCACCTTATCATTAACTATTATCTGTGCTACCCCTGTGCGGAGGAGCTTTATTCACAGGCCCAGAACACTTTGCTGTGGCACCATCCCAAATGATTTATAAACAAAGTAATCATAGTGGAAGGGTCACCTGTGAAGACAAGCTTGGTTGAATAAGCTGCAGATCCACTCTCTGCCTTCAAGTTCATACTGATAAATTTCTTTCCTTCAAAACACAAATTTTATATAAAATACACCAGTAATGTTCAAGCAATGTTCAAAGTATTAAAGCAATATTCAAGCATTTAAAAACAATCAGGAGAAGTGGCTCAGGATAAGATGATCGTTTTCAGAGAAGAGAAGAAATAAAACAGGGACAAATTTTGCGACTGTGTAATATGAATGTCCCTGCGAGTATGTTCACCAAGAAAATTAAACAGCCTGAAGTATTTAAGACATGCTGATTTTCCATTTTAGGGACAGAGGCATAAAACAATTTGAGTGACACCTTTTCCTATTAATATTTTATATGGGTTTGATACTTTGCCATCTAAGAATTCAATTCAAATGAGTTTGTGGGAATGTTTGAATTTTCATTATTATTTTGACTGTCAGGGAAGTAGAGAAAAGGTGCCCTCTGCCCACAGCAAGCAGCACTAGGGCCCGGAACGGTGCCGAGAGGCCGACTTATTTGATGTTCAGGGAGTTAAAGTGTTTGCAGAGTGAACCTCTCGAGCTTCAGCGTAGAGCCTAGCTTCAGAAACGGTCCTTTATACTGAAACCTGATGTATTGTATGTAACCTTTTCAGACTTCCACCGACAGGTATTTCCCCCTTTATTTTAAAGGCACACCAGGAAGAAACTTCACAGATACTAGTCTGTGTTTTACACAGACCAAATGTAACTTAAGAGAATGACTCTACAGTTTAGTAAGTATGGGATTTTTATCAAAATAGATATTACTGCATAAATATTAGAAATTTTTCATTTTAAAATCATTTGCGTGCACAAAACAACATTTCTGTTGATGTACTGACAGTTGTATTTATTTAATACTTCTAATGAAATTTGTGTGAGTACAGAAAAATATCTGCATATATAACAAATATTTTTTCCAGTTGACCAAGGCAGATGATACTTTGTTAAATTAAGAGATGCTCCTTCAAACCGAAGGGAGACAAAGGATAGATTTAGGCTGGGTAAATAAAGAAAGTATCAAAGAGCCATTTTCTTCCTCTTGAGATGTAAACACTAACACAACAGATCTTCAGATTTCATTGTTGAGGGACAAAATTTCTACACATAATATTCTACACATCTGCCAATAACTAGCAAAAGCCTTCTAGTTTAGGTATTTGAAAAGAAAGTAGAAAACAACAAACCAGCACTGCTATGTCTACAGAAACTGGAAACATATCAGCCATGGTTCATCATTTTAGTACCCGGAAGCATTATGTAAATAGAGAATCACATAACTTGGTTTCCTTGTTGTTGTTTTTTTTTTTTAATTTACAAAAGGATAATAGAAAGAAATCTTTGTGTTTTGTCGTTGCAATCATTAAAGACTCATTTTCCAAACACCAGCATCTTCCCATGTTATTCAGTGAAGCTGAATATGCTATTTTTTGTTCCTGATTTCCTAATAGCTAGATTTTTTAATATTCAGTACTGAGATTAAAAAAAAAAAAGATGCTTTGGTTACTACAGAAGGCAATGATGGAGGGCAAAAACACATTAAAACCAATCTCTTCCTAATGACTTCACGTTTTTCTCCTTGCAGGCTTTCATATCGGACTGGTCAAGACACAGCTAACTGCGACACATGCAGGAACAGTGCATGTATTATCTATAGGTAGGTTAAAAATTCTAATACTCTTACTTTTTATTGAGCAAAAGGAATGATTTATTCATTAAAATGCAAGATCAAATGGTAGCCTTGATTAAACTGTTTCAAAAATATGGAAACAGTTCAAAATACAAAAATAAATTTTCCTTTGGTAAATTCACAAAATTCAACAGGATAGAATGTTAATATTAACATTAAAATATAATGCAAAAGAAGTCCAAGCATGAGGCAGATTCTTTTCACCTCTGCTTTGTATGTCTAAACTACACTTTTAAATTTAAATAAACATTTAAACTTAAATAAACATCGCAAATGGAAAGGTTTTATTTTTATCTTGCATCTTTTAAGTCTTCTGCAAGCTCCTCATACGATCAAATGCGACTACACTCTTTTAGAAAAAGCACTCAGGTCTAGCAAAGATCCTGCCTATGCTGGAATATGTACAATCCCTCTGCATGGAAGGAAGGAGGAGAATATTTTGCATTAGCAACATCTGTTCGTGTCTATTTTAAGCTTTGGAAGAGGCTTTCTTGAAGTTATGGTAACAGAACGGGACCTGGCCATTCCAGAATAGTGAGTTTTCAGCTACGTTAGTAAGTGAGTATCATTTCAGGAAAAGTAGCTTCTACAGCAATTGCTGGAATACTCTTTTGTTATTTTGCACTCTGAAGAGCATTTAGTGCCCTAATCTGGACTCTACACTCCATTTACATGGGCTGTAGACTGTTGCAAAGTCCACATAAATCTTGTGAGCCTTTCATATACTGCTAAAAAGTCAAGTCTCTTTCAACTTATTATACAGTTTCAGTGAAAGCAATTCAAAAAGTTGTTTCTGTTACTTCTTGATAAATTTAGTATAAAATAACTATTTCAGATGTATTCAGACATTTCCATAGGGGATGTAAAACCTACTCCCCAGACTTCTCTTCTATACATCGCATGAAAAAAGTTAAGAATTTTAAAAATTTATATCTTTTTATAACAAAAATCCTTTATCCAAGATGCAACTATTAAAGCATTGCTATAAATATCTCACAAAGACAATTGAGAAGCAGCCTGAACAGTGGGTTGGACCAGGTGACCTCCAGACATCCCTTCCAGCCTACAGTGTTCTATAAAAAGGTAATAATGAAATCTGCATTACGTATGTTGTGTAAAAGCTCACAGAAAAGAAATCCTGCACCTTCAGTGATCTCATTTCAAAGTTACTTCTCAGCAGAATAATTGCTATGCTCATGCTGTTCATACATCATGAACCTTTCAGGTCAGCAGAAAGATATTATTCATCATCTGTTTTCCAAGCCTAAGACTTGCAAACCAAAGCAGATTATTACGGTCAGTACCACTGATGTAGCTTGTGGATGGGAAGTGTTAGAAGTTGAGCTTCATTTTCATACAGCTAAAGCTATGTAGCATTTTCTGTCCAACACATCAACATATTGCAAATTGCTTTTTATAGCAGTAACTGGACAATAACTAGGAAAGCATTTTTGGGAGAGATACTTCGTAGCAAAGATACTAATCAGATACAGATTCAATATAGACAGTTTTTAGTTGGTAAAACAATGTTGCTACCCAGGCTTTTACATCCTTAGAAGTACTTAGAACTTTTTAGTACCAGATGAAAAATGACAAACTGGTTAAAGCTTAAAGGTTTTGTTACAGATTCTGTTGTTTAGTAGCTGGCACAATTTATTCTCCAGAAGGAAACACTGAGTTTACTTTTTGCACCTGATGGGTTTCTAGTGAGTAGAATTACAGTGAAGATACGAATTAAAGTGAAGATACAAATGTCGGCCAGGACTGAAACACTGTGAATCCAGTGCCAAATCCAGCGCTGGATTCCTCCCTCCTCCCCATACTTCCCTACTTGGTCTCTGATTTAGGCAGAAGACCTGCAACTATTTATACATTATCTTCTGTCAGCCTAGAAGTGAATGGAAAAAAAAAAGATAGAAAACATCAATCCATCTTTTCTGCCAGCTAGCTATAAAGCAGAAGGATGCTTTTCCATGCAGAGGGAGGAACCAATTAACTTATTTCTCTGTTGGAGCAAGCTTTCAGAGGCATTTAAAGAATAAAAGCCTACTCTGCCACGATTTTTCTGAGCCTACCTCTGGAGGCAGGCCACTGAGCAATTTCTTTCTCAGGGCAAACTGGGAAGTTGCAGCATAGCATAACGCAGGGATACTTTTTCTTTCACTAGCTAAGATTCAATTAGAAATTTTTTTAAGTTTTGATTGCTAGTCAAGCAAGTTTAAAGTTATAGAATTTGTTCGATATACAACTACTGAAAATAAGATACATGTGGAAAAAAGTATGACGTATGTCTCATATGTAAGAGCAGTAAATTACTAAGAGCCTTATGAAGTACTACAATAATACTGCATCGTCCAATCGCTTACAGCGCACGAGTCTGAAATAAAACCTCATGCCTCATATCTACACCTAGATTTAGAGTGGTCCAGGAGTCTACTACTCATGTCAGAATTATCCTCCTCTTCCAGTTTCTCCTCTTACCCTACAGCAAGTGAAACTAATCCAAAAATGCAAATGTAAAGTGTTT